GCCTACATCCTTGTGCACATGAATTGAAACAAACTACGATTGTGTCTCTTTTTCTATGAATATCATGTTTTATACATGAAAGCTGCCGTTTTGCATTTATTTTTTTATTTTATTTTGGGAATAGATATTTCATCATTGTTTGTGAATCAGACGATGTAATAACTGCGCATGTCTAGTCGTTACATCACCCAAGATTGCATCATACTTTTTATGGTTAGTAAGGTTTTTGTTTCAACTTCTTGTTTTTTGTGATTCAGTCATTGTTTGAGATGGACGTGACTCCCAGAAGGCGCATGAAGATCGTGACTTTGCACGAACACGCAGACAAGACCTACAGGGACATAGCAAGAATAGTAGGTGTCAGTCCGGCAACCGTCAGCCGTGTGGTCAAAAAGAAAATGGAAACGGGATGCATTTTGCCAAAACGCAAAGGGAAATGTGGTCCTAAGAGGAAAACCACTGCCAGGGATGACGATTACCTAATACGGGAAAGTGTTAAAGATCCTCGAAAGACTAGTGACGCATTAAAACGTGGTTTGGGGGAGAAAGGAATAGAAATCAGTTCTTCGACGGTTCGCAGGCGACTCCTGGAAGTTGGTCGGAAAACCAGACGGCCAGTAAAAAAACAACTTCTGACAAAAGTAATGAAAGTTAAGCGTTACAAATGGGGACTAAAATACAAAAACCGGACAAAAGAAGATTGGAGAAAAGTCCTATTAAGCGATGAAAGCCATTTCTATGTTCATGGTCAGAGAAGTCAGTATGTTCGGAGGTCAGAGGGAGAAAAGGTTCGTGATTCCCACAATGACCACTTTGTGAAACACCCACAAAAGCAGATGTTTTGGGAGTGCTTTAGTTATTACGGCGTCGGCGACTTGCATCCAGTCCAGGGCACGATGTGCTCTCCATAACATATAGAAGTTCTCCAAAGAAGAGCTGTTCCAGAACTAAAAAAGACATTTCCTGACGGATCCGGCGTATTTCAACAACATCTGGCCCCTGCCACACATCAAAAATGGTCAAGACTTTTTTCAATACTAATCAAATAACCATCTTGGACTGGCCTGGGAATTCACCAGATTTAAACCCCATTGAAAATATGTGGTCTATTTGCAAGCAACGCCTTCGTGGCATGGACTGTACGACAAAGGAGAAACTTAATCAAGCTTCAATTCAAGTTTGGTACAGGGACCCAAGATGGGCTAAAGTTTGTTAAAATTTAGTGGATTCCATGCCAATGGATCGTAAGGAACTCAACAGTTACGCTACGGGAAATACGAGTACGAGCAGAAATGGACAAGAACATTTCGAAGTCAACAATCGCACGGCGCCTGAATGGTCGATTGGTAACTATGAGGAACATCTATCAGGTTCCCGAGAGAATGAACAATGAGCGAACCAAAGGGATACGCATGACTGTGAGTCTACATAACATGTGCCCTCTGATATTCAAAAGAACCACACAAAATCAAGTAAGAGTACAACGAAGGAAAACGTTAGAGACGTGAATTTGGCCTCAAGTGCGCTCACCTTGGACAAGAGGGCCCGAATGACGCATAGCATGATGGTCGCAGCTTCCGGGCAAACAGCGGAATGAAATCGAGGCACGGTTGAAGATGTCGCACAATGGTGATCATTCGTCCGACCGCATTCAACTGGTGTGTCAGATCCGAGAGTGGTGCGTGTACGTCGGCGACCAAAACTGCTTCCACTCAAAAAATTCCCCACCAGATGACCCATGCTGAAGGAATTTGGTGGCAAAGAAGACGCGTCAATAGAATTGGTTGGGGTGAATGTCGTGGAATCGAACGCGGAAACTTGGATGGAAGAATTCCTATGAGGATTGTCGGCATATAGCACCGAGTACAGCGAATCGAAATCCATCTGAGTGGAAAGAAAGGGGCGACAATTCACCACACACGGGGGAAAGGACACGCAATGATGTTAGGCAACCATAAATAGAACACATGCATCGATGTTTGATTGAACGATGCCGAAGTCCAAACCAGGTGATGATGCCAAATGGGGGTGAAGGCGAGAGAAACAAGGTCAGAATATAGGTAGCTAAATGCAGTTATGGCGTAAAAAGGCAATGTAGTCAGAGAACGGGTATGCTGATGGTCATAAAAGACAATACTAGTTAGGAGGGATGAACGTGAACGTCAACCCCGAGCAGATGTTCAAAAAGAAACACGCATCCATCTTCCTAAAATGCACGGTGGAATTGAATGGAAACAGAGAAAGTGCAGCGCAACCACCACGGTTGCAGTACTAATAAACGGGGAAGGCTAGGTTGTAGTTGCTGAAATTCCTCGCAGTTCCAGGATTGATCAGTGAACGGTATGGCCGATTCTTAAGTGACAGTTGGCGGCAAACTGATGCCATCGATTCAAAATTGCGCCCGCGACATTTCGCCATGATACATGTCCAACCTTCGAAGAGTGTCTAAAGATGAATACTTCTTAGGGTAAAGTCAAACTGAGTTGGTTACACCCTGCCAGATAGAGGTCAACATAGTTGGAAGAACGGAGGTAATATGCGATCAGTTGCTCATATCTGTGGCCGTTCATCTATGGCGCATTCCAGACCAGCGCACTGGACACTATATACTATACCTGAGGTAAGTCAACATGTTTGAGTGTAACAAGAATTACCCTAAAACTCAAAATAATACGCCCCTCTCGGATATGGCTCATCAGATTTGAGAATGTAATACTCCCCCAGATAATCGATGCACTTACACGCTAGAGCCTGCTGCGAGCCAAAACGTAGCCATGGTATTAAAGGTTAACAATGTGGGCGTCTAACTCACGTGTTCCCCTTGTTTCGTCGCCGAAGAGCAGATGAACCGTCAAGCCATAGACACAAATGTGTCTGACAAGGACAGAAGCGAAACTGCTGTAACTGCGAAGTTACAGCCCGTTCGTCGAAGCTGGATACAGTCGGACGGGCACAATACATCTAGGAACGTGTCAGACGGCCGTTTCATTCCACTGAGAATCGACAGCAGCGCGCATCCGCCGGATGCTGCCGAATTCGAACCCATGACTTGGCGCTTACGAGTCTGTGACTAATGCTATTGAGCCGTGGGTGAGAGCAACGCGCCGCCATGATTGATGTCTAACTGCGATACAGCGCGACTCATCCTCCACTGCCATGTAAGCTATGAAAGTGCAGAGGATACAGCTGGGTTTGGCTGGATACACTGGCTGACATGGCTAGAAGCGGAACTCAATGGCGTTCGTGCTATGAGTTTCTTTGTCCATACCCATACTTATTAGCCTCCCACATCAATCACGATCACATTTCAAGCACAATATAAGTTTATAGAATAACACATGGTTGTTGTATAGTACATGTTGCATAGTACGATGTCCACAGTTCATGTTCCACTCCGTAGGCTAGTGATGAGAGTGAGTATCGTTATAGTTCCAGTTATCCCTCAGCCATACTGAATTTAACGGGGTTTATGAAAACGCACGTACTAAGCGGATGGAATGCGGAAGCGCAGAGACACCTATCAGAAGTTTCATTGCATATGGCCAATCTGTTGCAAAGACGAAGTAAAATGTCAAACCCAACGGGAATAGTACGTCAGTGTATTAGTATATTACATTGGGAAAGGAAGCGGTGCACAGCGACAATCGTTTTATGAGCACAGAATGGCTGCACCCGAAGACGTACGATGCACATCTTCATCAAATAGCTTATGTTGACAACGGAGTACACATGGGTATGTACAAACATTGGAATACTTGGACATTTGCAAAACAATGCGAGCATTGTTTGGAAAGTCGCATGTTTGACAGTGGGCAACGGGACTTAGTTGATGTCACCCGTCAATATCAAAGGTTGCGCATTAATCGTTCTTTGAGAATGTGCACGTACCTCGGGTAGCAGATGACCACACCGATGGGAGACACGGAGAGCCAGAAGTGGACACTTCATCATATTCCCATGCTGTGCGATCTCCGCCATCAGCTACGCAAAACAGACTGTACATGGAGACGCAACACCTAACTGCACACTATTTCACTGTACCAGTAGTCTAGTCATCATTCTACTTAGCAGTTGCTTCACTATTGCTACATTGGGTTCCTTCAAATATGGATGCTCAAGATTTAAGGCTGTCACGTCTAAATGTCCAAGAAAACATCAACAGTTCGTATTGGGTAGTTATTCTCATGCCTGCATAAGTGATTGTTAGCCTGACCTCCAAACGAAACCCATACACATTTGTCGTACCATTGATCGTGAGGTCTAATGTGTCTCTTATCCAGTTTGTGATAGCTCACACTTCAGTTTGGATAAACGTATGTGCATACGTTGTATTCGAACTGCCATTGGACACGGATGACCCCAATCCATGTATATATGTATATCGAATGAATTCGACGAGGATCTTCATACCGCTTTTGTACGACCAACTTAGTGCAGGTAAACGGTACTCGAGCAAACCGAAAATAACATTATCAGAACATGAAGAAGGTGAGTTTATGACAAACTCATGTTGACTACAGGTGTTGCAAATCCAAGTCAAATTTCGATCAAAGCGAGTTCCGTGGACTACTATAAAGGGTGGTTGCACAGGTGCAGGAGAAGGTACTATTGCAGATGGAATAGAAGCACCATGAGTACGCTTTCATTCGATTTAGTAATCCAGGCCAATAAGGCGGCGTATGTGGTACGTGTGCCTGCGTGATGACTAATCTTGCATTTCAGAAGTTGATGTTGCTTGAGCTCCCCGGTGTGGCTGCGCCTGATGTGAATGTTGACAAGGTGCCTACCTGTCTATTACCCACTACGTCCATACTAGCTACAGGAGACAGTTGGTCGTTGCTGGTGGGGACGCGGTGCTAGGCTCAAAGAGTGGTTCAATCCTGTGTGAAACGGGCGACGGTCCAGCCACCGCCATGTGTACGTCTGGTGTGCATGATTTCCCAGTTAGGCCGGAATACTTCCGTTCTGCTTGTTGAAGGAGTGTGGGCTGGCTCCGTTGATGAAACGTGGCTCCCATTCACATGCCTCCCTGTCTTATTCCTTTGGGTTTACACCAGATATGAAGTGTGCGGGTGGAACTGTGGGTGGTGCAGCGCAAGCCATCCATAGCCCTCAGCTGGCGCAGGCGTCCTGTGACTGTCCCCATGGAGGTCACAGTGACAAGCAAATCCAGATACGGACGCAGACAAATCATGTAGGTAGGGCACATAGAGGGAGCGTATGGTGCGCTGAGGCTGGTGGTGGCTAGATCCTGACAGACGGTGTACCAACTGCTGCTACTGTTGTGCCATTTGCTCATGTCCTGGACGTCTACTCGTGGTGACCGCTGGGTGGGAGTTGGGTTACGCCCTACTCCCTGCTAAGATCCAGGACACCAATCCGCATGAGTCGGTGTACTGGCCATGTGCTTGACCCGTTGACTTTCAAGTGTACATTTAATCGAAGGCTTTGGCTGAGGACCCGAGTCGTTCTCCTGTCAGGTGTGGGCGCCATGCCAGTATCATAGTCCATCCTCTTCGGAGGTTATGAAGTACTCGATGGCCCTCTTCCCGTAAAACCTAGCCATGGGAGACAACAGGTCTAAGGGTTATAAGCACACAGCTCGATTGGCGTAGAACAGTCCCCACACGCATTGTCTCTGAGGGTGGGAGGGGACCTCCGAGTGCTCAATGGTCTGCTACTGCCCACCTCAAGACAGGCAGCTCCTAAACAAATTGTTGTAAACGCGCCAAAACCTACCTACGTCTGGCTGTGGTCGCAGGTGCGTATCCTACTACGGTCACAAAACATCACCATCATCATCATCATCATACACATTAGCTAGAGGTGGGAAACACCTCAGCTACTGTGTCGCAATACATAGAAAAAAAGGAGAGAGAAAAAAGCAACTGGTGCAAGCCGGCTGAGCTACCGGTAACGGATGGGCATCGTTCCGGTAAGCTACCTGCCAGCTGCTGTGCACCAAAAAAATTACTATGCAAAATCATATAAGGCTAAATAATGAGATCGTGGTTAGAGGGGGAGGCTAAGAGGGATGGGGTGGGACGAAGAAACTCACAGCACGAACGCCACTGAGGTCGGCTCCTAGCCATATCAGCAAGTGTGTCCAACCAAACATGTTCATCGTCTTTCGGACCCCAACAAGGGAGCCGAGACGCTCCAACCGAAGCCAGCTCAGAAGTGAGGGCCTTCATTCCTCTGGACCAAGTCATCGCTTGGCCACCCCTCCTCTTCTTCCATCCACATCCCCGGCGCGCAAACAACACATGTCGCGGGAGTCGGTGGGCTGGCATGCGTAACACGTGGCCGAGCCATCGGAGCCTGATGCGTGAAATAACGGTGCTGAGCGGTTCAGTTCCTTTTCCTGTGCCATAAACAAGGCGTCGAACACGCTCGTTGCTCACGCGGTGTTCCCACCAGATGTGATCTAAATTACGAAGGCACCGGTGGTCGAACGTAACTAGCCTCTTCAGGTCCGCTGCTTTAAGCGGCCAGGTTTCACAACCGTACAGTAGGGTCGAACATACTGCTGCATTGTACACTCTACCCTTCAGGGCAAGAGTGATGTCGCGCCGGCGCCATAAGTAGCGAATGTTAGCAAAAGCGCCCCGAGCTTTTGCTATACGATTCGTGATTTCATCTTCAATCCCACGGGCGTTGATACAACTTCCCAGGTAGTTGAATTTTGAACGACTTCTAGCTGATCCCCACCAACGGTCAGCGAAGGAGGCGGTCCCTGCCAATCTTGGAGGAACGCTTTGCACTTCGAGTGTGCGAAGCAAAGCCCGAAGTGACGGACAGCTAGTGCTAATCTGTCCAGTGCCGCTTGGCACGTCTGTGAGCTGTCACAGATAAGGGCAATATCATCAGCATACTCTAAGTGA